GGGTCTGGGGGGCTTTGGGTCTTTCCCCCCTTGATGGTTGTTATGATAAAAGTAGCCTGGAACAGGGGTGCGCCCCGGGATTTGGGGCCCAGCCCGGGGGCCAAAAGGGTGGGTTGAGTAAGTCTTTAAACCCCCGCCAGCCTTCTTGATGGGCAAAAGAGAGCGGGGGGAAATGAGAAAAATGTAAAAGTATTTGGGAAAAAAATCTAAAAAAAATGGGTTAGTTCCCGTCTGCCCGCGAGGTATTTTAGGGAGCCTATTACGAACCACCATACTTATCATAAAAAACATTTTTAAAATAAAAATTTTGTTTGGGTGGGAAAATCTCTTGATTCTTTTCAAAAACCCGATTTTAATTACCAAATTTTTTAAAAAATGGGGGTGGCCGCAGGTTGGAATTTTGTGGGAGCACCTGGGTTGGGGGGGGAAAGGGAGGTTTTGGGGGTGTGGAAGCAGGGGCCCGGATGGGGGTTTGGAGAAAAGGGAAATCGAGGGTTTGGGGGGGTAAGTCATCCGAAAAATTTCCCCAAATGTGGGGTCCCTTGCAGAAATCCCCAAAAAGGCTCCTCCAAGTCAGTGTCCCTTCCTTATGGCCTTCCCAGTCTGGCCCGAGCAGGTAGTCCCCCCACACCAATCCCGTTTTCCTGAAAATAAAAGACAGCAGAATGCAAAAAAAAGAAAATTTAAAAGAAAGAAATGATTTCTCCCCAAAAAACGTAAACAAATCAAAAAAACGACCCCATAAACCCCCCCCATACCAAAAGATGGGGACACCCGGCAACATTTTCATTCCAAAATTTTGGCCCCTTTTTATGGGTTGGTCCCCTTTGCTTTAAAAACAGCCTCCCCCCCCTTCTGGAAAAGGGTTTTCCCTAGAGTTGGAACCTTGCCCGGGTGGACTTGCTTCCCCAGCCCCCAAGAGCATTAGTTTAGGTGGGCAAAGATGTTGGGCGAATAGGCCGGTTCGCAAATCGGGCTTTCCAAATTAAATTTCCCCAAAAGGGGTTTGAGGGGGGGGGGGGTCAGGGCTCTGGCAGGCCCCAGTTTAAGTTCTTCCACAAACCCCTCGAAAAAAAACCATTTTGTATGGACCCGCTTTTTGTCCGGGGGGGGGTTTCATGCTTTAAACAGGAAAGGCCCCTTTCCCCAAAATGTTTTCCCCCAAATTGGAAGCACAGAAAGGGCTAAAAGTCATTTTTGCTCTAGATTTAAAATTTTCCCCTTCCCAAAAAAAGAAACCCGGGCCATTTTTCTCCCCACCAAAATTAATAGTTGGGACTTGCATTGGGGGCAGGGAGCTTTCTCCTGGCAAACCCACCAAAAAAGATTAGTCCCTGGGACTGCCCGATGGGGATTGGAGGGGAAAAACGTGATTTTTATTTACCCCTAGAAAGTTACCACTGCCCCCAGAGTCCCCCCAAAGGCGGGGGAGCTTTACAACACTCCAGCCCCCGCTTGGAATTTTCGCCCTGGGGGACTAAAGGTTGGGGGGGCCGGGGACTCGGCCATGGAAACCCATTTCTGAAGCTCCCGAAAGAAACAGTTCTTGTGCTGAGTTGCTTCCAGAGGCAGATGGAATTCAGTTAGAGCACTTCCCGAGGTGTTGAGCCGGGGGAAAGCCTTACAGGGCGGGAGAAAAGGGAGCCACAGGGCTTTTTAACAGAGGAGAGCAAATTACAAAAGGCTAAAAAGAGGAGGCAAATTTCAGAGGCGTGCCCGAGGAGAGGCACTTACAAGGGGGGGGAGCCGGGGAGCACTTTCCCCAGGCTGTAGCAAGGGGGAGAGCACTTACGAGGGTTTTGCCGAGGAGAGCACTACAAAAGGCAAACCGGGTGGAGGGGGCCCCGAGAGACGCAGAGGCAAGGGGGGGTGGTCCTTTAAAAAGAAGGGAGCAGGGGGTTGGGAAGGGAAAGGGCCAGGGGGGGGGTTCCCCAGAGGGGTTTGGAGAAGGGGGGGTTGGGAGGGAAAGGGCCCGGGGGCTTTATTTGAGGCTGGTTTTGCAGGGGGTGGAGAGGGGCCGGGGGGGAAAGGGGAAATTTTTTAAAAAAGTATTATTTAATAATTTTGAAAAATTTTTTTTGGGGGGGTAAACAGTTTTTAAAAAAAAAATTTTTTAAACAAGCTTTCACAGGTTTTAAGGGTTATAAATTTTCCCCAAAAAAGGGGTTCCTAGGCCATTAAACCTGAAATGAAAAAAAAACATTTTTTTAAAGAATACCGAACCCCTTTTTGGGCAGGTGATTTTTTAAAAACATGAAAACCCCTGTAGTAGGGGAAAATCCCTTTCATACAGCGGTGCAGGGATTGGGGCCCCTCGGCCCGGGAAAAGTGTAGGGGTGGGGGCAATCAAGAGGGGCCAAAATTGAGGGGTTGAGGCATAAAAGAGGCCAGAGGAAGGGGGTTGGGGGGATCAAAGAGGCCGGGGAAGGGTTTGAGGGGACTCCCAGAGGCCAAAAGGGAAAGGGTTTTTTGGGGGATCACAGAGGCCGCGGGGAAAGGGTTTTGGGGAAATCACAGAGGCCCGAGGAAGGGTTGGGGGCCTTTACGAGGCCCCGAGGAAGGGGTTTTATTTTTTCAAACACAGGGCCAGAGGGAAAGGGGTTTGGGGGAATCACAGAGGCCAGGGAAAAGGGGTTTTGGGGGAATCCCCAGGGCCCGAGGAAGGGTTGAGGCACTCACCCAGGCCAGAGGAAGGGTTTGGGGGACTCACAGAGGAAAAGGAAGGGTTGGGGGACTACAGAAAGGGCCCGATGAAGGGTTGGGGATCACAGAGGGGCCCGGGAAGGGGGTTTTTAGGCACTCCAGGGCCCGAGGAAAGGGGGGGGCACTCAAGGGCCCCCGGGGGAAAGGGGTTTTGGGGCCCCACGGGCTGTAGGGCAAATTGGGCCCGGGGCGGTGTTGGGGGCTGTAAATAAATGGAGGTTTGGGAAAATTTTAAAATTTTTTGAAGGGTCATCGTTTTTAAAAAAGACAATACCCCTCAACTTTTTGACAGGTTGGGGATTTTATTACCCGACAGGCTTCCTTGCCAAGTTAAAGTTTTTTCTTTCGAAAAATTTAGCCCCCCAAAAAAATTTTTTATTGAAAGCCAAAAAAGGGGAGAAAAAAAAAAAATAGTCACAATGAACGGAGGAGGAGGAAACCAAGTCACCTGTCAAAAGGATTATCTGAATCAGTGTTCTTCTCATGGCAGCAGAGCCATAGTAGTTGAGGAAAAATAATGTAACAAAAAATGTCATATTTACCCATTGACAACAAGTTCAATGCAGTCCTCAATGCAGGAGTCTGAACAGCAGACCCAGACGCTGGTGGAGCTGTAGGTGCTGGCCCAGCAGGTCCACTGGTAGAGACCGGCTTAAAATATAGGGGGGGGGGGGGGGGAATACAGAGACAACACTAGAGTATGGTATCTAATTTCAGTAAATCAGAAAAGAGAAAACATGTTGTTTTAGCTTATAAGCTTTATTAGTGTTACACTCCTGGGGGGTGAAATCCCATAGACACCTGTCAAAGTCGCGTCAATTCAAATCTGGTATTAGGAACAAAAGAGGTCAACACGACTTCTAAGATATACTAGTTATTTTAATTAATGCAAAAACCTTCAATGGTAAATATGATGTTTCGTATATACGGGCTCTCTGAAATACTTCGCAGGGCACCCCAGAGAACTAAACCCATTGTTCTGGGTTCTTGCTCAAATACTCTGACAGAGGGAGTTTCCCCACCTCTCTGCTGACCAATTAGAGTAGAGACTTGAGCGTGGTTTTAAACTTACTCAGCCAATCCGTTGATGCATCTCTGTTACCAGGCATATGTCCATATCATAACAACCTGTCATAGTGAGAAGAGCCAGCTCCCTTAGACACCATTCCTACGTCCAAGGAAGGTTCACAGATCACAAAGAACCAGTATATTCCAGCATCTGGAGACACAATCCCTATCTCACTTTACCCCCTAAAAACAGCTCTTCACATCAATCACAGCTTGCCAGGTGTCACAACCTACATTAGCCCAGTCAAGAATGCATTCTTTCTAAGTTAGTCAAGGGGGTGATGAAACTCTAGCTCTTTCTGGAACTTTCCATAACCTTTTGTGATTGGTTGACAAGATCATAGCTTGAGACTTTGACACTGTGTATAGTCTCTATGTTACCATATGACAATTTGATGTCTGAATAAGAGAGATGTGGGGGGGCTGCCTTAATCAACATCATCGGTACCCGGGGAGCAATTTTTGCCTTGCTCAAGACCAGAACGACAGACTTTTCACCTTGGGGATTTGAACCAGCAACCTTTCGGTTACTGGCCCAACACTCTTAACTGCTATGCTACCAGCCACCCCACATAGGTATATAGGTAATGTGAGCTATGGCTAAACATGTTTATAACAAAGTTAATCCCCTGGATATCAAAGCATTATCTAATTTAGCTGTCATAATAATATAGCTAGCTAGCTACAAAAGCCAGAAGAAGATCAGGTGACTAACTCTGACAGCTCCTCCCATTGAAAGTGAATGCTACTGTAACATCACCAAATTATATGCTTTTTTTCCAGGAGGTTGGCTGAGTCAACCAATAGCGTCGCTATTGGCTGTGTCCTTCTTCCAAAGAATGAGAAGCTATACATGATTGGCTTTTGAAACATGGACATGGAGATGGTGGGTGCTTGGACATAGTTGACAGACTAACGTGAATAAAATAGCGCCAAAGCGCCATGCTCATCCAACTGAGCTACAGAGGACCAAGTCAATGTTTTTCCACTTGGAACCGACAGGTTGCTCAACCTTATTCATGGTTTCTTTGTGTGTGAAGGTGGTGGAATTATGAGGGAATTAAGTCAAGGTCAGAATACAGCGTATCTGTAGACACACATCCATTTCTGTGATCTCCACCCCAAATGAATACCTGGCTGACACATGCGTTTCCCCATGCTTAAGTTCAAGGTCAGAATACGTGTAGAGAGAAAAGTGCATTGAAGTGAAATAAGTTATTCCCCCCTTTATGAAAAGATTATGAAAATGATTGTTATAGATATGTGTTGTGGTATAATAGCATCGAGGAGTCCATACTAATGTTGAACTTTCCCTCAGCTGTCAAGGAGTGTGACTTTGTGGACCACAGTGGGGCATCTGGTGACACTGAAGAAATAAACGCAGAAGGAAATGTGGAGGGATTGTTGGCTGATTTCAAACTTAACGTGGGCTTAAAATGCTCCAACGAACAAGAGTCGTCCTTTGGCAGACTGAAGAAAGAGGAGGTGGAAGTGAAGGAGTTGGTTAACTACTCGAAAGACATGTGAGTTGCCCTATACTGTAATACACTGAGTGGACAAAACATTAAGAACACGTGCTCTTTCCATGACATAGACTAACCAGGTGAATCCAGGTGAAAGCTATGATTCTTTATTGATGTCACTTGTTAAATCCACTTAAATCAGTGTAAATGAAGGGGAGAAAAACAGGTTAAAGAGGGATTTTTAAGCCTTGAGACAACTGAGACATGGATTGTGTATGTGTGCCATTCAGCGGATGAATGGGCAAGACAAGAAATGTAAGTGCCTTTGAACGGGGTATGGTAGTGTCAGGCGCACCAGTTTCTGTCAAGAACTGCAACACTGCTGGGTTTTTCAAGCTCAACAGTTTCCCGTGTGTATCAAGAATGGTCCACCAACCAAAGGACTTCCAGCCAATTTAACACAACTGTGGGAAGCATTTGAGTCAACATGGGCCAGCATCCCTGTGGAACGCTTTCGACACCATGTAGAGTCCATGCCCCGATGAATTGAGGCTGTTCTGAGGGCAAAAGGGGAGGTGCAGCTCAATATTAGTAAGGTTGAAATGTTTTGTACATTCAGCCTGGCCTCAATGACGTAACATAGTAAACGTATATCTGTGACACTCAAATTAGTATGATATGTACGGTTACTTAAGCAAGAGGGAGGGAGATTGGGTGGCGTATAACGCGAATGTCTAGCAACCCAACGGTTGCGTGTTCAAATCACATCACAGACAACTTTAACATTTTTGCAACTGCTTACTACTTTACAACTACTTAGCATATTAGCTAACCCTTCTCCTAACCTTAACCCTAACTCCTAACCATTTAGCAGACGCTCTTATCCAGAGCGACTTACAGTTAGTGCATACATTATTTTATATTTATCATACTGGCCCCCCGTGGGAATCGAACCCACAACCCTGGCGTTACAAACGCCATGCTCTACCAACTGAGCTACATCCCTGCCGGCCATTCCCTCCCCTACCCTGGACAACGCTGGGCCAATTGTGCGCCGCCCCATGGGTCTCCCGGTCGCGGCTGGCTACGACAGAGCCTGGATTCGAACCAGGATCTCTAGTGGCACAGACCACTGCGCCACTCGGGAGTCCTAACCCTAACCTTAACCTCTAACCCTAACCTTAACCCGTAGCGACTAGCTAACATTGCCCATCTAGCTAACGTTAGCCACAACAAAGTGAAATTCCTAACATATCATACGTATTGCAAATTCATAACATACTGTACGAATTGCAATTAGTAACATGTTATACGAATTGTAATTCGTAACATATCATACGAAACGTTGTCATTTAAATTGACAACAAGTTCAATGCAGTCCTCAATGCAGGAGTCTGAACAGCAGACCCAGACGCTGGTGGAGCTGTAGGTGCTGGCCCAGCAGGTCCACTGGTAGAGACCGGCTTAAAATATAGGGGGGGGAAATACAGACAACACTAGAGTATGGTATCTAATTTCAGTAAATCAGAAAAGAGAAAACATGTTGTTTTAGCTTATAAGCTTTATTAGTGTTACCTCCTGGGGGTGAAATCCATAGACACCTCTCTGAAGGACCTCCCTGAAACCAGTACAGTTCCACAAACACCAATGACACTTTTTATTTAGACACACCAAATGATCAATGAAATCCTAAAATGTTTGACATACTTAAAGGGTGTGATTAGCTAGTAATTCTCTCTGTCTCTCCACTTGAGAGAATGCTGAGTGTCCTTTTATATTTATTTAATTATGGATTTACAAGGGGGTAACACTAATGACATAAAACTTAAGGACACATATTATATTTGTAAAAAAATAATAATTTAATAGCCTTCTTTGTTTTTATTGATCTATACAATATATGAAATACTTTTATTTACTTTCTATCATTCAAAATAATAGATAGATATCTCTAAATCCCCAAAACATGTCACTACAACTCTACTCATCACTACTGGGACAAGCCCATTTGCTTTCCCTAAGTACTTTAAAGAATGCATAAAAATAACGTTTTGCAGTATAAAGGACTTACATTATGTTTTCACATTGATAAACAGTTCAATATCAACTAAAACATGTATAATGTCTAACTATTTGTAATTTTAGGGTTGTATTCAATCCGCATCACAGAAATGCAGCTTCACAGCGTGATTGAAATGTAAAGACAATGTTTTATTTTACCCTAATTTACCAGGACTTGGCAGAAACTGCATTCACGCTAAACGCTGGATATGTCGACTCAAACGGAAATTACCTTTCAATTTATTTAGCGGAATCCGTAACGCTTCAGTGTTACAGATTGAAGAGAGCCCTTAAAGTGTTTTTCATGGTTGCAAAGGCGAGGGACGCAAAAGCCAATGCAGTTCAAGAATGACCCTCTAGAAAGAAGCCTAACTATAACATAAACATAACATGCCACTTAGCAGACGCTTTTATCCAAAGCGACTTACAGTCATGCGTGCATAAATTTTTGTGTATGGGTGGTCCCGGGGATCGAACCAACTACCTTGGCGTTACAAGCGCCGTGCACTACCAGCTGAGCTACAGAGGACCACTAACACCTTTAAATAATATTTGCTCGCCCACTCTATATTTTGTATAATTTATCTGGGTCCCTCCTGCAGACGTCTGGACATGACCCACCCTGTGATCAAGCAGACCCGGGAGAAGCCCAGGGCAATATTAGGGGTGTTGATGGAGAGGATTATGACATCACAACCTTGCCCGGTCACAACCAAAGTCCGGAAGCGCGGCAATGTAGGAGCCAACGTGAGCACCTGTGTGGCCCTGAGAGGGAAGGTAGGAGGAAAGATTAACAAGCGTTCTACTGAAGTGAATGATGTTTTCATCATATTTTCATGAGTGGAAAAACATAATAATGTATAACTGACAACTCAGATTTAGATGATCTCTGTTGTAAAATAGATTTTTAATCTCAATAATCTCACTTTATGATAGCTAGGCCTACATAAATAATGTAAATGTCAAGACCATATTGACAGATCACAGATGTCTGTTCAGTAGTGGTAATACTCACAGATGTCTGTTCAGTAGTGGTAATACTCACAGATGTCTGTTCAGTAGTGGTAAATGCTGTAGCCCTGGTTTCCCACATAGATCATTTCCTGTTTTTGTCATTAGATCCACTTCCTGAAAATGAAATGGTGTAGTAGAGGTGACTGTCTGGGTTAGAATCTGGGTCGTCTGTGCACCAAACGTCTCTGACTGATTTGACATTTTCTCCACAGGCCTCTATGAAGCAGAGCGGCAGTACTCAGAGAGATAGTGATGTGTCACTGGTTATTCCTGTAAATACTGTCGTGGCCTACAGTCTGATTGAACTCTTTGTCAAATGCAATGGACAGTTTGGTGAGGAAGTGTATGGTTAATCAAGTGCAATGTCCCAGGTATAGCTGCATGGTTAAGTACCATGGTAAAGTACACAGCTAGCTTATGTTCCTCAGTGTGTATGTGGTACAGCCACTGTATCTGTCTGTGTGTGACTGGTTATGGCTGTTGTCTGCTCTTGTCCACAGAGCTGTGCCTCTTCTCCAGCAATGGGGGCTTTGAAAAGGTTAGGTCAAATTATGAGTTTGAAGAGGATGGAATTATGGACCTGGTATGTGACTTTGATGCCAACAGCCCCCTAAATCTGAAGAAAGGTAATAATGCCAGTGGAGGCTAATGTCTCCTGTCTAGTGGTCAACATGTAGTCTACTGAATGGAACGTCTGGTCAACATGTAATGTAGTCTACTGAATGGAACGTCTGGTCAACATGTAATGTAGTCTACTGAATGGATCATCTGGTCAACATGTAATGTAGTCTACTGAATGGAACGTCTGGTCAACATGTAATGTAGTCTACTGAATGGAACGTCTGCTCAATATACCACACTTTTGATATATAAAAAAACATTGATCACACTTTGACAAAGTAACATGGTTTATCTGTTGTTTGTGTGTTGACAGAACTGGAGAAACTGAGTGGTCATTTCCAGCTGCTGTCAGCCCTGCCAGCGGCCACACGCTCCTCTCTGCTCCAGCTCCTCAAGACAACCATGGAGGATGGAGAGGCAGTCAGTGTGCTGGAGAGTGTGGTGAGTGGGACGTACAGAAACACGGGCCAAACACACACACACACACACACAACTAATGGCAGGAATGAATATATCAACCAGAATATCTGTAACATACTCTCGGTCTTAAATGTACTCTCTTTCTCTCTCACTCTTCTCCCTCTCTCCTCTCTCTCTCTCTCCCCTCTCTCTGTCTCTCTGTCTCTCTCTCTGGTCACAGCTGGATCAGAAGTGTGATGGTGAGACTCCTGACCTGGGTGATCTGGAAGAGTCTGAGAGGGAGACAGTCCAGGCCATACTGGATGTTGTAGACCAATGTGTTGGGGAGGATGAGATCAGATCCTCACTTCTCACTGCCATCCACCTCATTGTCAGTGCCATGGACGGTGGGATAGAGAGCAATTTTCACAGGATTCTGTGTTATTATTTGATCAGTTACTGGGAAACTAGGTTCACTACTGTGGTTTTATATGTGTGCATATTTATTTCTTCAGGAATGACAGATGACGGTCTCTCTGTGTTGGGATCCTGTTGCAGTCCTCCAGTCTTACAGGCCCTGCAGATCCTGGTGAGTTCACACCTGCTTGATTGAGCCTCCAATCCTGTATGGACTGGACTTCATTTTTCTAAATTTTTGTTTATGTAAATGTTTTTGGGTATATCTTCCCATTCTAAATAAACTAATATTTCTACCATTATGATAACATTGTGCCACCAGTAGAGGTAGTAACACCGATGATGGTAACCAGTGCCATTTTTAACAAAAATATTGGTGGGGCAAACTCAATGAAAAAAGTGAATATGAATCGATACATTACTACACTACACTAACCATAGAATGCACAATCATAAATAATTACCAATCCCAGAAATGAGTTTAGAGCCACTGTTATGTGAATTATTTAACAAACTATTTCAGTTTCTCTGTGCGTCTTTTGGGATTTAAGTAACGGCCAGAGTCCCGGTCTGCATAGTCAGAGATATTTATTCATTGAGAATTCTGCCATCACAATTTCAGAGTCCATCTTTTATACTCATACGTCATACAAAAAGAAATCCCTCCCCTCTGTAGGCGGGCTGTAGTTTTCCACTCTAAAACTGCTCTACTGACCTTCAGTTCACACACACACACATATACACACATACATACACACATACACACACACACACACACACACATATCCTACTCCCTGCTTTACTCAGTTATTGCCGTTCTCACAATATTCTGCACCATGTTTTCATAACAGTTTCTCCCCTCCCTAAATTGGGAGGCCTCTTTATCTTAGTTTCTCAGTTGTCTTTGTTGTCTGGCCTAACTCTTACTCACATTGCTAAATAGTGGCTCAATGCCATAGCCTTTACTGGTCCTACACTCACACATTTCTAACACATTATACACAGTTTCAGGGTGTAATAATTAGTCATTAATAATGAATCTATCAATTCCACCCTTTGACTAAATTTTTACACACATACAAAATATATGTTGTTATAGAAATGAATCACACTCATTAAAGTATATAAGTTGGTTTGCATATAAAAACATTACAGGTTCATCAGGGTTACCCCATGATTAAAAGCGTAACGTTACTTTTTAGCAATGGTAACTGGTACATCATACTTAAAATGAGACTTTAATACACAAAAGATCATTACAATAACTTTTAAACTAGAGATTTATAGTTCTAGGAAAACATCCAGTCTCAAATTATCTGGATCGTCGTCGTCCTCCACCAAGCCTGGTAGGTCATATCCTTCAGTCGGAGTCCGGGATTGGGCCGTATCTCACCATCTGTTGGGAAACCGCCTTGCTCACCAACCCTCAGACACAGGGAATAAGACAACATCCACAAAGAACAAGTATACCCATAGAAGCTATAACTTCACCCAGAATAGTTACAACAATAGTTTTCCATTCACCAAATATGTTATCAAACTAACCGTTTAGGGAGCTATCAATACCAGAGTTCTCAGCCAGTTCGTTCGCCAGCGTGGTGAGTCCCTGAAGCGCTTTGGTCACGGACCCGTCCGGTGCTGTATTGTTGGGGATGAAAGTACAGCACATAGATCCAAACAGAACACAAACTCCATCCCGCTCAGCCAAAAGCATATCTAAAGCTATTCTATTCTGCCATGTCATTAAGCTAGTTGCCGCTGTCTGCTCAGCTAATCCCTTTATTGCATCACGAGTGTGGTTTATAAATCTTTGCTGGTTATAGTACATATAATTTATCCAACCTACGCTTTTATTAATTGTTGACCACCAGAAAATACTTGATTCAAACCCAGCTGCGATTTGATTCCTAGCTTTGAATTCTTCTGGAACCCCTCGAGGTACTCCTATCCCATCAATATATATCCTTTCATCAAAGGATCCCGGGAGGAGGTCCTACTTTCTACATGACAACTCACCAGTCTCTGACACGTTTGATTTTTTGCATATGTAGGTGAGTTCACAATCTGTTATCACCACACAACCATCAGATGTCAGCACGGGCCTGGTTTTGGTTCCTAAAATCCTCTGGCTGCAACAAAGAGGAGAGATTAGTCATGGTCTCTTTAGGTGTGACATTCTCTGTGTGGGAGCAGGAGCTAAGATGCCCTACCCTGTATCCTATCCTTACTAGTCCTAGAAAAACAATAATAAGAATCCCCTGAGACTTCAAACAGAGGCAACCTAGGTCGGGGTGACTTTGTTATCAGGGGATACAGAAAGTGCAAGTTACTACAAGACTCTTTCACCACATTCCCAGGTGGCTTGCATGGAGGATAAACCTGACAGAGAGTCAAAGCCTGTCAAGGGGAACGGAGTAGTTGTTAACCCTGGTTTGGCTGTCCCACAGGCAAAACAGTCCTCTTTAGACATAGTTCTTGCCGTATACTGAATCCATTCCAACCACAGGTTAAAGATTTCTATACCCCGTTTCCATCTGTACTACTTCCTTCAGGTCTATAGTTTGCACTATCTTTACCACAGCCCCGGTCTCACCTCCCTCAGAGAGGTTTACTCTATAGGGTGCCCCAGTTGAAGAGGATATCTCACTTGTTCAGGTCTGTAACCTGTTTTAGCGTAATTCAGACTTTCAGACAGCACCTACCCTTATATGGGTCGCACTGCCATTTTCTGGTAATTCCCTACTTTCACAATACTACACCTGTCCTTAAACTGTGTATGGAGATTGACATATCCCCCCCGCTTGGTATGAGCAACTACATAGTCCCAGGATGTACATGGTGACATACATATGGTGATGTCCTTCCCTACAGTCCCTAGTACTTCCCCTTTCTCTACGTCTAGTTGTCTCCTATGCCTTCATAGACTGTGTTAAGGTATTATTTTATCAACTTGTTGTTAGGTTAACTACTACTTCTGGCGGATCAGGAGGGTCTGAGTGTGTTAGGAATATGGCCCCCACAATCAGACAGCTACCTACCGTCAGGAGACCTGTGAATCCCCACCCTCGCCCTGAGAAGATGTCAGACGCCAGAGGCCAACCCATTGCTTTACCTTCTATCGAACTCACACAGGGATGATCAGACAGGGTAAGGGAATCTTCGTTAAGGAGCCAACCCCCGAGCCCTAGTGGTGATCGGTTCTTTCTCCTAACTCTGTGTTTGTTCGTCAGGTGTAACTGGGTTTACCTTTTTGCCGTGTGTGACATGCACCCAGGTGGATCTAATAGGACTTGGTAGGGCCCTTCCCAACAGGCCTGCTTCCAGTTTTTCTTCTTTAGGGACTGGATCCACACCTAGTCTCCTGGTTAGATAGAGTGAGTCACCTTCTCCTTTAGTTCACCTGTGGGGCACAAAACCTCTGACATACAGGTGTGGTTAATAAACTACCTTCTCACGTGTTCTGCTAGGGTGCTCTCTAGTTCTATGTCTGCCTGTCTGGTCCTGCCAACTGTGGCATTCTGTAAGGTCTTCCAAACACTTTCTCAAAGGGGGTTAACCCATCGTTATCTGGGGTTACTCTAAATTTCTTCCCTTCACTCCATGATAACTCTATAAAATCCATTTCCAATTGCTGGAAAGGGTACTTAGCCGGAGGATACTCACCCTGAGGTGCCCTTTGTCTGCCCTGGTGATTATTTTGGGAACAGATAACACATCTTTTTTTTTATAATTAGTAATCCCATGTGCAACAAAGTGTTGTCTAATCTGTTCTACCATCCATCCCTCCTTTTGACACATGTCACTGCCCATGTGTCAATATTATCACCTACCTAACAATCACTTAGGTAATATTGGTAATTTATCATCCAATTGCCATCCCTTATTTTTATTTATTGGTAAAATAAACTATCTTAAAGTCCTCCTCTCATGCCTTTAGAATTTACCAGTGTGGATGATTAATTAACACCAGAAAGTTAAAACAGAGTTCAGAGGCAATTGAAATTCCATCCCATAGTATACCAAACATTACCATTATTCTAAATATTTAATAAATGTTACTTATCCCAAGTGTTCATTAATCCTCATGACATTCATTCTCATAAAAAATCATATATACCCCAAACTCAGCCAAAACCTAAAAAACTCCATAAAATTCACTGTGTGCTCCTCTAAGACCTATCACCCTTGACCTGCTGAAAACCCCCCAAAATTGAAACAACAAGGCTTTATAAACATCATACTAGGTGTGTTGTTTTTTATTTGAAAACCCCAATTAAAAAACAACAACCAAACAGCCAGGTCATGATGACTCCTGATTTCTCTCTTCCCCTTCTGCCTACAGTTTCTTAACTGGTGCCCTTTCCTTGCACAGTAACTATACGGTTCCTCATATTCTCTAGCAAAATGTCCTGTTTTGTCACAATTGTAACACTTCCACTCACTCCTGTCTCCACTATTACCATTTCCTTCTTGTCTGTCTTTGCTACCGTAACCTCTCTTCTCTCGTAGGTATTGACTAATAGTCTCACTGTCTCTAATTCAACACAAAACCCCATCATCCAATGTACTCCCAGCAGAACTGAAAAAAAAAAAAAAACAGACTGTGATTTCCAGGACACTGCACCTTTGTTTCTGGCCTCACTATCTCCCCGGGAATTGGCCCTCCCTCAAGGTCCCTCCCAATCTGCTCTTGGTAAACTGCAAACCTTTTATTGCTTCTGGTTTCATAGGGTATTGCTTCTGATATGGCCTATGATTAGATTTGGGTATCACCTGTACTGGAATTACCCCTTTTATTAATCCTACGTCTGCTGGACCCCGGGACCACAAATGCTCTGGAACTTCTTTTAAGTCTGACTCCTGTTGTTCTGTCAACAGGTATTCCTCTCCTCAGCATCTCCTATTCTCATCTAAATGTACTATCTGTGGATGGGCTGTGTTGATCGCCACTCACAATATTGACCCAATCAGTGATCCTCTTACCCTTGGATACCCACTGGCCCATGTCTTTCCAGTCCTCTGCTGGCTCCTTTGCTAGGGACACATGTGGGCTCCATATTTCCCTGAACAGTCTCTGACTTTGGGTCCCTAGTTCCACCTCCACTACTGCGTGGGTGTTGTCATAGTGAAACCATTTCAAGGCTATAGTCCTTTCTGTGGTTTTAAATAATGCTTTCTCATAGATTGCATCTGGACCTGGGTGTTTGTTATACCAGAGAGTACAGTGTAGGTCATCGGGGGACATTTTAGTGGGGCCTGGTACTACATCATCAGCAAGTTCCATCAAGGTTCGGGGAATATCAGTTATTCCCCCCCTAAACAAATCTTGCCTATACCAATAACATGGCTCCCTTTCCCCACAGACCACCATATTGTCTCTGACTATGTGTACTTTCATTCCCCTCTCAGCGGAAATGACAGCCACATTCAATTTAGTCATTACATCACGTCCTAGTAAATTTACCCGACACAGCTTAGATATCAGGATGGGTATGGTTGCCTCTCATCCTGATTGGTCATGTTTTAGGGTTATTGGGGCTGATAACCTTTCAATAAATTGATGACCAGAGGCAGATCGCACTATGATTTTCTCCCCATCAATCCTGACTCCATCTGGCTTGTCTGTTGCACAGGTTGCTGTCCTGCAGGCTCCCGTATCACAAAGGAATTTAATTTTCATACCCATTACTGTCAATGTCAAATAAGGTTTCTGTTCCTGTTGAAGTGCTAAGTCAATAGTAGCCAATTCAAACACCTCACAATTTGGATCAAAGGGTTCCTTAGTCTTCCCCCCACTAGAGTCTACTATTTCTCCCTCAAGGACTAGTCACGCCTTATCTTCCTCTTCCTCACGCTCAAAGCTGGGGGATGGACTTCTCTCTCTCTCTCTTTTCTCTCTTTTCTCTCCTGTCTGACTTTCTCTGCCCTTGTCCTGTACTCCTCTACCTCTGGCTCTTCCTCACCTTCATCTTCCCTTCCTCCTCCAGCCCCTTCTTCCTCATAGGGAGGTGGGGCCGGTGGGGGGCAACATTATTCCCCTGCACTCTCCTTCTCCTCCCTACGTATTCATCATCTGGATTTTCTCTCCATGCCTGGTCTGCCAAGTTTGGATATAACCTTTCTGCCCTCTGCTCTGGGGGAGGCACGGAGACCTCAACCTTCACTTCTCTTTCCCTCTCACTCACTTCTCTTTTCTTCCTGCCTTCTTTCTTGGCTCTGTCCTGTCTGTTATTCTGCTCATGATGGATTGCATATCTCTCTGACACAATTCAGTTATTTTCCCAACATACTCTCCGTGATCGGCCCATGGCAAAAGTGTCCTCTGGGCATCCCCTGAAACCCACTGCCCTCTAACGGCAGCCCAAACCTTACTATTCCTGTTTTGGGGTGGGTCATTCCTTCTACCGCTCTGGCCACGTCCTCTGTGTTCATGGCCTGTCTGCTAAATGGCATATTATTATTATTACTGTATACATCTAAGGTTGCTGGGGCCCCTTTCATTCCCCGCCAATAGATTAGGTAAGGCTATCAGTGGGTACTGGCCCCCTCCTACTCTCTCTCTCTCTCTCACTGCTTATTTCTCCTTTACACACCTTATGTATCTGTTTAAGCATGGATTCGAGTTTATCTGCGTCTAGACGTCCCTCAAAACCATACCTCTCCCTCCACCTGGTTACATAATGGAGATTTCTTCTATCCCTGGATTCCATTTTAATTACATCAAGCATTTCTCGTCCCCAGTAAATTCTGGGACCTCTTGTGAGGATTTGCCCCCCCCATGGTTGGTACTGTTAAAAATCCCTTAGCCACCTCTTCTATATAACAAGTCAATTTAACAAGTAATTCAAAATAGCTTCACACAACAACACCTTGAATCACCCCTTCCTGTATATGTAATCTTGACTAGTCCCCCAGAATTATCTCATACTTTTACAGAGGGATTGATCCCCACAATGTAATCTTGATAATTCCTGACAGTCTCATACAACAGGAATGGGTTCTCCCTCCTCTATACAACCACCTGGAATTATTCATGTGACTTTTGAGCAAACATTAGGTCTCACACGTATACAATCTTACATGATTATTGGTGTTGTATCGGTAACCTGGAGTTTATAAGGCTCCAGAACGGATAGAGTTACAGCAAAATCTACAGTTGTTTGTGACTTTGACTTTACTAATATTCTATTTCTCACACATGCTACTTTAATTCCTTCTGGTGTACTTTTTGTATTTGTTTAACCCGGATTATTTGTTGACTGTTCAATAATCTCTTACATGTTACATCCCATAGGTGTACTTTTAATAGTTCCTTCTATTTCAACACCGGGTAGTTTCTTTTGGTAATGGCCTATTACCGTGAATCATTACGGACCCACCACCAGGTTGACTAGTCCCCCAGAATTATCTCCTACTCTACGGATGAGTCTATCCTCACAATGTAATCTTGATAATTCCTGACAGTCAACCCCACATTTCACTTAAAATGGCTACGCATTGATCAATTTGCTACTTTTCAATATTTTACCAAGTCCTCAAATCAATTTCACCAAGTTAATGAATAAAGACTACTGACCTTATCCTTGCAGCCGAGATTCAATGTAGGTTTGGATTCCGTCACCGTCTCTGTCATTAATCAGGTGTCCTCTGGCCTGTTTTAACCCTTAATGTCAAAGGGCAGGACTTTCTATTTACGAATGTATCATTCGCCCGTCGACGGTTTTCAGAGTTACCTGGAATGACAGAAACAGGGTATTGGAGTCCGGCTCAGAAGGACCAAGCTGTTATGTGAATTATTTAACAAACTATTTCAGTTTCTCTGTGCGTCTCCCAAAAGGTTGTAAGTCTTTTGGGATTTAAGTAACGGCCAGAGTCCCGGTCTGCATAGTCAGAGATATTTATTCATTGAGAATTCTGCCATCACAATTTCAGAGTCCATCTTTTATACTCATACGTCATACAAAAGGAAATCCCTCCCCTCTGTAGGCGGGCTGTAGTTTTCCACTCTAAAACTGCTCTACTGACCTTCAGTTCACACACACACACATATACACACATACATACACACATACACACACACACACACACATATCCTACTCCCTGCTTTACTCAGTTATTGCCGTTCTCACAATATTCCGCACCATGTTTTCATAACAGTTTCTCCCCTCCCTAAATTGGGAGGCCTCTTTATCTTAGTTTCTCAGTTGTCTTTGTTGTCTGGCCTAACTCTTACTCACATTGCTAAATAGTGGCTCAATGCCATAGCCTTTACTGGTCCTACACTCACACATTTCTAACACATTATACACAGTTTCAGGGTGTAATAATTAGTCATTAATAATTAATCTATCAGCCACACACACAAACGTTCTAACATATGGGTTATGATCAGTTTATAGGCTACTTTCCCATATCTTTGGCTCTCATTGCACGGAAGACCACGGTAGTCCAGCATACTTTTATAGAGTAAAGTTTATTTTACTTCAGAATCAATATCAGCATTGGTCTGCAATATTGCTAATCATTGTAACACCATTCTGAGTGTAGTTGCATCTACCTGTTAACAAGATGCTCCGGTTATGAATAAAGCAACAAAGTTTATAAAGCTACACCCTCGCTTCAACCATTGCGTAGAAACAGTTCCATGGGTTATTAAATTCTGACATCAATCATTAACAACACGTTGTAGCTAGCTAGCTGTTAGCCACCACAAGTTCTATCCAAACCACTCAGGTTGAATTATTTTCTAACTTGCTTTATTTTAATGGAGGCCTGTTCATTGGCTGATGAGCACCAATATGTCTTATCTCTACATTTACTTTATTACGCAAAGTTTGAACATGATTTGCTAGGAGATAGTTGACGTGATTCATGAAGACTTTTCAGCTAGCTAGCTAGAAGACGATAAACAACTATGAAATTGACACATCAGTCCAATCAAAGCTACCGGAGATAAGACGTCGATTTATCTGTGGCAAATGACATCAAGCCTTCTTGGGCGGGCACTACTAATGAATCTCTATGGCAGCACCCAAGTGGGCAACCGCTGCCTGAGTCTCCCAGTACATGCTGTTTGCACTGTCCCAATGAATTCACTCACCCATCTGAACCTTTGAGAATGTGCCAATCACGTGCAGCCAATTGTGCGCAACCAGAGAAGATCAATGAGGGCTTTCCCCTGGCTGGCCTCTCCACAACAGATCACTGAATGAGGCTGAAACAGCTGCATTAGGGAGCTGTCTTACTCAAAGTGACCAAAATAACAATACAACGGGGGAAGCGAGCACGTATGCTTAATTAGCTCAAGCAAATCAAATGTGTTTGCTTACTGATATAATATCATGTTGTGATATGAATGAAAGCCAGAATTACATGCAAAACAGCGCCATCTCCTGGATAGTTGTGGGGCTGCCCTAAATGACGTGTCGCCACTGACAGTAACCCAATGACACATTTAAGTAATTTAGGATTTTCTTAAATGGAGGCCACCCATCTCAAATCTAAGGTCATTTAACCTTTAGTAAATTATTAAGTAAATTATTTTTAAAGAGATTTGATTAATCATTTTGCTCAGAGTGTAATTTCCCTTCATTTCAATTGAGTTACACCAATTACACTTTTTATTTAAACACACCAAATGATCAATGGAATCATTATATTTATGACGTACTAAAAGGGGTGTGATTAGCAAATCATTATATTTAATATAGACCCCTACCCTAATAACAGTTTGCCACTGGAAGGAATGCTCAAGGTCCTTGTATATCTTTGTAATGAGTGATTTACAAGGCGGTAACACTAATGATATTAAATACGTTTGTTTATTTTATAGCATTCAAAATAATAGATATCGCTAAATCCCAAAAATATGTCACTACCCACTCTACTCATCACTACTGGGACAAGCCAATTTTACTTTCCCTAAGTACTTTAAACAATGCATAGAAATAAGGTTTTGCAGTATAAATGACTTGCATTATGTTTTCACATTGATAAACAGTTCAATATCAACTAAAACATCTATAATGTCTAACTATTTGTCATTTTAAAGGGTTTTCATTGTTGCATAGTCGAGGGATGCAAATGCCATCTTAATTCAAGAATGACCCAGAAAATAAAGCATATAAATGTTATTCCTGTGCTGCTTGTCCTCCAGGTGCAGCATGTGGCAGCAGGGAGTGGGGAGACCCTCTCTCTGAGAGATGCAGGTCTGGCTGTTCTGACTGAGGAGGTGTTTGGGAGGACAGAGAGTCTCTTTGGTCACTCTAAAGTTACACTGAAGAGAGAGGAGGACACACTGAGGACAGAGATGAAGGACCAGCCTGGATACCTTCCTCTTGTCATGAGTATCACTGTGAAAGGCCTGGCTTCTTTAGTGTAAGCTGAGAGTGAGTGAGTGAGTGAGCTAGAAAATCCTGTTTGAACTGATACACTCACGATTCCATTCCATGTGTTACTCTTGCACTAGTTGAGCTAAAGAACTAGTGAACAACAATGTATGTATTGTAGTGTCTAAACAGTTTATGACTTTGTTGATGTTTGCAAATGGTGTGGGAAGTCTAGGTGGCCTCCTGGGATTGGTTTATGAGAAAACACCCATATTATGTTCCATAGGGCATAGGATATAAATACCATGATTGAAACAAAGGAGGGGAGAATAACATATTAGAGATTGGGGGCCGGTTATTCTCCAGATGTCTGCAGAGGTCTGTAAATTGACGCTGAACTCTTTTGATATAATAAACCTTTATAATCAAAGTACAGTGTCAGCGGATTCCTTGTTCTCACAGCATAATTAGCATCATTATTTAGTTACTACAGTATCCTTGTAATGCTTTCAGTAAAGTTTAACAAACAATATCAGATGTCCCGGCCTCCATTCTTCTAATCATAAGATAATATATCATAAAGGCACACTGGTGGGAGGAGGGTGGGGGGGGGTCCTACATTTAGAGCATTGTCTAGTGACCCACATGACAAGAACAGGAACAGAATCCTGTTAAAATTACTGTTCACCAGAATCACGTCTCCAAAAAAATCCTAACCATTTCTGTGAAGTCTGTTATTGTACTTTACAGTCATTTGAAAGTGTAAACTTTCTCACATTACCGTGCTACCAGGTGCAAAAACTATACTTATTAAAACAAAGATGAACTCCAGTACCCTGGTAATATTGATGCCTAGAATACCAGTGTGATGAAGTTTTTCTTCTTTTTAATAATTATTGTATACTCAAAGACAACATCCCCCAGTGCTCAATATGTGGAGTCCATTCCTGTGATGTCTGTGAGATTCAGTGTTTGAACAACATAGACATTTTGTCATCAGAAACCCTATGCGATGTGTGTGTGTGTGAGAGAGAGAGAGAGGAGAGAGAGAGAGAGAGAGAGAGAGAGAGAGAGAGAGAGAGAGAGAGAGGGGTATGAGTAGGTGGTGTGTGTGTAAACAGATGTATATCGTACTCTCCTTGGGTTTTGTTTTCTCCTAATGAATCACATCAGCCAGTTGGTCCCAGTTGAGCATCATTTATTTCTGTTGTTAAATGGGAAACAGCACGTTAGTTGTGCAGAGCTTAACGATATTGATGGCTGTCGATGGCAAAATCCCTTGCATCTCATTTTCATACTGGGCGAAGAAAATACAAAAATACAATACAAAATATAACATACGTAAATACCTGTTGTTAAATGGGAAACAGCACATTAGTTTTGCAGAGCTTAACGATATTGATGGCTGTCAATGGCTAAATCTGTAGCATGAAGGCAACTGTGTTAGCAGTGAGCTTATGTGACCATTACGTCGGTGTATGCTAGCTAACACACTTATCTACAGCAATCATATGCCAAAGCACATCCCAGAAAGCCCCTCAATCCCTAACAGGTACCATATACCCACACATGTATGAATCAGTAACGTACAGCAACCTTGTACACATTGTAAAATATAAAACAGTATTCAGAACATGACCTACCCCCTTTCATACATTTCATATGGGAGACTGCTTGCAATCTCCCCAGCTGCAAGCGGGGCCATACAACAGCCATATTGTATCGAGTTGACCAACCCAATAGAATGCAAAAAATTTTTGCAAAAAAAAACCCTCCCCCTACTGCAAAAGGTGGGGCC